AAGAGCCACAGTGGAAATGTCGGATTTTTGTGCTTAGCTCCGTTAAATATTGCCCAACATCAAACTTTTAGTGAGCCTGTCCATTCTTCCAACAAATATTTATTGAGTCTGTGCTGAGCAATCTATTGTGTTAGGTGATGCAGGCATATATGGAAATCTCTTGTAATCAAGGCAGATGAAGGTTTAACGAGGTTAGAAACGTAAATTAAATAATTTTAAGGGAAACGTATAAATCATAGTTTTAATTCTGTGGATCATGAAATGACCACTTTTTAAAAAATTGAGCTGTATGGGCCCAGCAGGTGGCATGGTGGTCAAAGGCATTGACTCCCACATGGTTGACTGTGGTTCAAGTCCTGGACCTAGTGGCTTGCTTTCTCATTTTCCCTCTCTTTCTCTGTCTCTGATCAAACTGGGAAAAATAGTAATAATAACAAATAAAGTTAAAGTCATTCTTTAAAAAATTGAGCTGTACCAGTGCACTTCATATAATAAGGACATTTTGTGAAATTTTTGTTGGCTATATTATTATTTATACCAGAGTTGCAGTATTCAGTTTTTTTTTTTTTTTTTTCCAATTTGCCAAAGGGCAGATGTGCTCACCAAAGAGAGACAGGGAAAGCAAGAAAGCACACCCTATGGGGCATGGTCACATAGAAATCTCTTCTCTTCCCCCCTCCCTCCTTTTCGGATTTTGGACATGCACGCACACACGCCTGGTCTGTTTCTTAAGCCACCAAACGGGCCTTTCAATTTTTAAATTTTTTTTAAGACTTTTGCTTTAGGGCATGTATGCTTGCCAGAGAGACAGACAGAGATAGAAAGGGAAAGTGAGAACCCCCCCCAGGTGCTTTCTGATGACATCTCAACCCCTTCTCCACTCTCAGAATTTTGGGCACACACACAGCCATGCAGGGTGTTTTTCAGGAGACCATGTCTGTGACTCAAACTAGTGGAGTTGGTCTTGTGGGATCCAGCACCTTAACCATCTTAACCATCACCTGCTGGCCACGCAGTATTTTTAAGGTAGGTTACAGTAAAAACAATTTGAAGGGATAGATAAAATATACTTCAGAAGAACCAAGATGTCTTGCTGAAGGAAGTGGCTTGGGAGAATTAAGAGTCTCGACAGGTGGAAATGAGGCAGTGAGAGCGCATTGGATTAGGCTGAGGGAAGAGAGAACTAGGGCCCTGCCCTGGCACTGGACAGGGAGACACAGCCAGGCAGGGCCAGGGCATACCCACCTGAAGAATTGTGTTAGGTGGGCATGGGAGTTGTGCCTGTAGGTCTGAGCTAGTGAATCATTACCTATTTCCCTACTGGGCTACTGATAGCTTATCAGCTCTGGCTGCCCGCGTGGACTTTGGCAGCTTTGCCCTCAGCCCCGATGGCAAACAAGCAACAAGCGACAAGCCCCAATGGGTGTCTGGCCCTGCACTTTGAGCATTCTCGGCAGATGCCTGGTTGGTGTTTAGTTTGACACCTTGCCTGGAAAAGCCATGGGATTGCTCTTGACTTGGTTTAAGAAGAGCTTCACTCCTTTGGGCTGCGCATTTACTGTGCGTGCCCTGGGCTTGCTGACTTTACTCTGGGCGGGCTTCTCATTCCTTCTCCAGGACTTGAGGAACTGTGTAGTGGGGCCTACACCAGGTGGAGCCGTCCGCTGCAGACGGGACCAGTGTCCCATTGAATGGAGGACGCCATGTCTGAGAGCACACTGAGCTCTACCAAGAAAGACACATACAAAGGGTTATTACAAAGATGAAGGGGGTCTGGGGAACTCTGCAAGAGGTATCATTACTTTGAAATCACTCAAAATAAATGAGAGAGTCACGGATTCCTCCCTTACCCACCAGAGCGCTGTAATTACAGGGTGAGGTAAGTCCATTTTAGAAAACCCGGGTCCTAGCTTGTCTCTCAGAGTGACAGACAGACTCTGGCCTAAGCTGCCTGGCTTGGGAACTTGCTCAGAGCACTCCCTCTCTATTCAGCACGGGGGCGACCCTCCGTGGGGCAGAGGGGCCTTCCTCTGCACCATACCAGTCAGTTGCAGTTGGGCCACAGAGTCCTTCCTTCAGGTCCCTAGACCCAGAAGAGCCGGTTTAGCTGTAGAGGAAGTAATCCTGACGCCCCGCAGTGTGGGACAATGGCAGTTTAACGAGTGGTTTATTTTCTCAAGAAACCAGTGTTTCCTAGGCCTGAGATCCACCTCGGCAGGCCCATCCGACCTCTCCGGCGTTGGAAGGCACCTAGATTCTTCCTCGTAGGAAAATTAACATTTCCGCCCGCCTCTGTTAACAGCTAGGCTTCTGAGTTAGCTGGTGGGGGAGGTTAAGGCAGCTGGATCCCACATGACCGGCCGGGCGGTTCTAGTTCCGAAACCAGCGACTTGAAAATCACCCAGAGCGGGTATAGTCTGCGTGCCCCAAATCCCGAGTGGAGAAGGGATTGCCGCATGGCCACCCGCCCACCTCCGCGGGATGATTTCTCACTTTGTCTTTCTCTGCCCCTTTGCGAGTGCACGTGACCTTTAACAAAACTAATAACAAAAGAAAAACAAACCAAAAACAGATAACGGCTTTTGGGGAGTAGAATTATTGTGGGGCGTGGTGAGACACCCAATTGAGCTTTATTTGGGACTTGAACAGGAAATTTTGGGGTTTTTTGCTGGTGGAAATATGCCAAGAAAGGCCTCCTCTGGGGCGCCCCCTTCTAGAGTACATTTCGGAACCGAGGAGGGAGGCGAGACGCCTTCCAGATCGCGCAAAGTATCTTAACGTGAACAGGTCGATGCGCGACGGGGGCCAGGTCGTGGGCGTCCACGGAAGAGAACGGTCAGCACGGCGGTTCCCAGAGAAGGCGGAGCTGTGGGCCTCGGTGAATCGGGACGGAGGTTCGGGAAGGTCTGGACAGCGAAGCCGGCGAGTGGGGCACGGAGCCCGGGCTGAGGAGCC